GAGTGATAGTCGGGGGGGGGGGGGAGGTCTGTGTGTGGTTTGTGGGGTGTGAGGGAGGGTGTGGGGACCTCCTTCCCACTCCCTCCCTTCATGGTGCAGAAGTAGGCAGGGGTGCTGGTGCCTGGCTCTGGCCAGCGCTGCATGTTGCAACAAAAAGCATACCCCCACCAGGCCGTTTGTTTCCCTGGCACTTCCCATACTTGCAGGGCACAAGAGGGAAGCCCCAAGCACTAGAGCCAGCTGCTTTCCCCACCCCAGCACCTGGGGCTTCCCTCCTGTGGCCCAGGAGTGCGGGGAGCACTGGGGAAACAAATGGCCAGCAGGGGCTGCGCTCCTTACAGCACTGGCTGGAGCCAGGAGCCAGGCACCAGCGCTGAGCAAAGCAACCCCCCTGCTGCTGCTGCCCCCCACTGCCTGCCAGAACAGTGTGCCATGCGGGGAGGGTGTAGGGGGGTCCTCATCCCCCTCCCTCCTCATGCCCACACCCTGCCCAGCCAAGCTTCACACTGCTGCCACCCCCCTGGGCGAAGGCCCCACGCTGCAGCGAGCCCCAGCCCCATGCTCTGCGCTCCTGCCCAGCTGCAGCCCTGCCCCCGCTTCCCTACCTGCTGTCTGGAGGGAGCCGAATGCTGGGGAAGCCTGCAGCAGCAGCCCTGCCCCATGCCAGCCTTTCTGCCCATGAGTGTAGGAGTGAGGCAAAACAGGATGTTGGGGGCAGGTATAGGCATCTCGCTCCCACCCTTGTGGGCGGAAGGGCTGGGTGGGGCAGAATTCATTGCGAGGTGCCACAAACCAGATGAAAGTGCCTGGTGGGCTGGATCCAGCCTGCAGGCCTTTGCCCACACCTGAGTTAGACCATGGATTCAAACCTTGGGACTCTTGCATAGTACCATAGGGGGTGTGTGCATGCACTAACTTTCTGACTAAGCCAATTTAACTTTTTTTAATTGACTTAACTGTCAGAGTGTATACACTTATGTGGATCAGAGTTGATTTAATGGCGGCAGAAGATAATATACTTCCAAGGTGTATTGTCTTGTGTCACATTAGTTAAGTCAACTTAGCTCACAAGATGAGACCATGTCAACGAGCTGTACATGTGTAGGCTCTGATAACTTAACTTAAGTTCTCTCTCTTAAGTTAACTGTGTTAACTTAAGTCAACCTAGTACGTGTGTACATACTCAGAGTGCCCTGATCCCTGGACTATTGACGTTCTGGGGTCTCACTTTCTGATTTTTGGTGAATGGTTCTAAGAAGCATTGGATTCATCCTGATGCAAAATGAGAAAAAAATTAAATAGCAAAGTCTTGTAGGGGGAGAAAAAAAACAATTTCCCAACTAGCTAAGCTTCAGAGCTTGTGTAGCATACAATTTTGGGGTGGGTTGAATATTTTGACTGAAATGAACGCATTCTTGTGTCTGAATAAATAGTCATTAGGAAGACTGTAATGTCATTACAAATTTCAGTGGAATCAAATCCTTTCTTTCCCCCACAAAGCAAATCAGAATTTGGCAGAGTATTAAAAAATGGCTTTATATATATAATAAATTACTCCATTTTCATTGTAATCTATTGAAACAGCAACATTAATCGATGCAAACCATGCTATTGTCAGAAATAAAGTATTACCAATTTTAAAAAATACCTGATATCTCAAATATTCTAAATGTAGCTTGGAGACAAGAGTCCTATAGGGCTGTAATAGTAATAACAAGCATTAAATCCACTCCCAAGACTCCAAGTAGGAGATGGAAATGAACTAGTCAAATCCCCATTATAGGCAAGGGAGTTTCACTACGTGGATCACCTGAAGACACACATTTTAGAATATCTTTGAAGACGAGTTATGGGACCTAACAACTTCCCCAGGAAATGAAAGAGAACTTTGCATGAGGAGGCTATGGTAAATAGGGAGATAATCACAATGATAATATTTTTTAAAAGATAAAGTTAAGGGATCTGTCTCTTTCAGATATCCTGTATCTGTTGGCAAGAGATGCTGTCATCCCATATTTCTGAGCTTAGCATAAGCTTAGCTTATCATTTCAACTTTGAAATGCACCTCTGTAGAGCAAAATGCCTTGCTTTGTGTAGCAGGGCACTAATCTGTGCCTGCTCCTTTAAGGGCAGAAGCAGCCTTGCCAGAGAGCCCTGCAGGCTAGGCAGAGCTCCACACCTTCAGGTTGCCTGAGCAACAGCCTAAGTGAGTAATTGACCAGCACCTGCAGGTGGTGAGGTGGGACTGGAAGGAGGCAGGGCCCTGGGGATATATAAGCTCAATGCTGGAGTTTTGATTCACTTTCTCTGGCAACTGCCAGGGGAAGGAGGTCCTGCACAAGGGAGCTGCCTGAGACCTGGTGCTACCTGCTTTGTTACCCAAGTGCACTAGGACTCCAGGAGCTCCCCATGTACCAGGGGCTAGGAGGCATGCTACCCTAAGGGTGGAAGTTTGCCCTCTTAAAGGGACAGAGCGCTGCCTTCATTATTAGTGTTATGTTATAGCCCAGGGGCTTATGTTTGTGTTGTTATTTGCAACAGTGGTTTTAGGATGAGGCTATAAGGGGCGGAGGAGGCCTCATCAGTGCCCAGCAGGTGGGGCACCCTATTCTGTAGAGCCCAGCGCTAGAAGGGCACAGCTATGGAGGCTGGAGGGGCCCCGTGCCATAGGGATGCAATAAACAGGGACATGAAAGAGGCCCAGCATAGGGGTGGAGTTAGGCTCCAGGAAAGGGCTAAGTGAGTCACCTGTTCATATTACATCGCAAGGCATGGGGTGTGGTAAAGGGGAGGATTTGGAGCTACACAAATAGCCCATAAGGCTTGAGGTGTCCCGTGAGGCACTGTCTGGAAGAGGCCTGGTGAGGGGTCCGAAGATCAGTATGGTCTAGCAGGGTTCAAAGGGACTGGGAGCCGTGCAAAGGTTCATAGGCAGCCTCCCTATTTATCATTTTACCAACAGGCATGCTGGGCAAAATAAGAAGGTGCCCTCGGGGTGGAGCTGGCCTGGTCACAGGACACCAGGGAATGTCACAGCCAACCCTGGGACTCCCATCTGCCACAGTTTGCCATAAGACTTATTGTAAATAAAACTCTTCAGGTTCCACTGAAGGACTTTCCATGTTGTTTGTTTGATTTAACAGTCTTGGAAGAAGCCAACATTTGACACATAAAGGACTTCCTTTCTCTGTATTATCATCATCAATAGTCTCCTTTAAAGATGATCTGCTCTCTCTGTCCGTAAGGCCACTCCTGTGGGCAGCACCTCTGTGCCTCAATAACTGGTCTTGAAACTCTGATGTCATAAAGTAATAGAGGATTGGATCTAAACAACAGTTCAGGCTTGCAAGACATAGAGAAACTGGATGAAAATGAAGCGTACTTCTGCGTATGGAACAGTTTGTGATTACATTCTCTTTCACCATCATAAAAAGAGGAAAGTTTATGTGATATGGTGTAAAACAGATGAAAAATACAGCTGCACATGTCAGGATCATGCGTAAAGCTCGCTTTTTTTCACTTGTGGGTTGCAAGGATGTTTGGAATTCCTGTAGAGACTCCCTCATTTTCCAAGTGCAGTACGCAATAATGCAAATGGGGATCACAAACCCAAATAATTCAGCTATTGTTACCAAAGTCACAGTAGCTCCTGTTGTAATTTGCTTCACTTCAAGGTCTGCAAAACATATGTGTGTAGTGTTGAACAATGAAGGACTTCTAAAAATTGGCACTGTTAAGCACGCAGCTCCAACAAATATCCATATAACAACACTAATGGCTATATCATACCTGCACTTCCAGTCTTTGGCCTTGAATGGATGGAGGAGGAAAAGGTATCTTTGCATGCTTATACAAGTAAGGAAACAAATGCTTGCATACATGTTGAGATACTTCAGGTAGAAACAAAGCTGACAAAAGTAGCTCCCGAAGGGCCATGTATGGTTTAAATAATAAAACATTCGGAGTGGTAATGACAGAACATGAGCAAGATCAGCTACAGCCAAATTTATCATAAAAATTATGGCTTTGCTTTTTTTGCTGATGAAGCGACACAAAATCCATAATGCAATACTGTTTGCTAGTAGACCAGGTATAAATATTATTATGTAAGTGGCTGCATACAGGGAGAACTGAAATTTCATGTCGGGGTCAGTGCAATTTCCTGAGGATCTGATGCTCTGCATCTTGAGAGGTATCTGTGAATTCATTTAGGACTTGATAGAATGGATGGAAGACTTCTGCAGAGAGAAAAACAGTTTTTAAGCGTTTAATTTTTTTCATGTTCTAATACAGAAAAACAGTGTTAAATGACATCTTACACCCATGAGTTGTATTTAGATTGTAAACTCTTCACCGCTTAGACCATCTATTCCTATGGGTATATCTATACTGCAGTTTGCAGGATAGTGTAGAGATATCCCAGTGAACTGGGATAACAGAAGCAGTCTAGCCATAGCAGCCTGGAAATCCACACAGGGTAATTTATCTGTTTCTTGGCTAAATAAATTAGCCCACTGTGCTCCTGTGGCCCAACTGCTTTGCTTAGCTTTAAATGAACTAGCTTGGATCTGAAGGCAATTCTACATGGCGGTCTGTAGAGCCAGCTTGGCCTGTGTTTTGTAGAGTGCCTAATACAATGGAACTCTAGACATTGCTGATCCTTAGACTATAATAAATCTGATTTTAAATGAAAGATTATATGAAAAAGTATGCATTTTACTCAATTTAAGAAAATGAAAGTGTGTTACAGGCAAGAAAGATGCTATCACCATCAGAATTCAGGCGATACAGAACACATTGCTATAGTTATCAATGGCATGCTCTGTACCCACCCCAACATTACTTTGTAAGATCTGAGTCCTGGGTCTTATCTCTCCATCCATTCCCGGTATGAAACTACCAAGAATCTTGAGATTGGGGACACAAATGCACAGGCTATCCTAACTCTGCCAAAGACTAAACCACTACCGCCTGGGAAGTGTAGTAGACAAGAAAGGGGTTTGGTTGGGGAGGAAAGAGAGCTGGACCAACTCTTAAATGTGTTGATCTAGTGCAGGCTTGTCCAACATATGGCCCGCAGGCCGCCATGTGGCCCACCAAGCCATTTTATCTGGCCTGCGGCGGTGGCAGCACCGTGCAGCGCAGAGCCGCAGTGGTGGCAGTGTGGAGCCGCGGTGGTGCCGAGTGCGGAGCTGCCGTGGAACATGGAGCTGCCGCCGCGGAGTGCGGGGCGGCAGCACAGAGTGCAGAGCGGCCACCACAGAGCGTGGAGCTGAGGTGGCGGCAGGGCCACGGCGAGGCAGGCAGGCAGGACCAGCCCACGGGCCCCAGCTGGCAGCGAGGGGAAGGGAGCTGCTTACCCCTGCGGGACCCAGGGGAGCGGCCCCATGAGGGAGGCCAAGCAGCAGCCGCTGGCACTGCTGGCCCACACCTGCCTCCTCACCCGCCCACTTCAAGTCAGCCCCACTGCCCTGCCCTGCCCTGCCCTACAGCAAGGCAGCGCCTGCTCCCCCGGCCAGTCTCCCCACAGGTGCTGCAGCTCTCTGGGCCCAGCCGCCCACGTGCGAGGCCCCAGGTGGGCCACTTCTCATGTGCTGCTGGGGACGGGAGGAGCCCAGTTGGGTCTGCACTGGCCAGCAGAAGCGGTGGCAGAGCCATGTGCTGCTCGGGACAGGACGGGACAAGCCTGCACCGGTCAGTCCCGAGCGGCACACAGCTCCACCGCCGCTTCTGCTGGCTGGTGCAAACCTGGCCGGCCTCCTCCCGTCTCCAGCAGCACATGGGAAGCCGGCTTCAGCTGCATGCTGCTTTTCCAGGCCGGTGCCGACCCGATTCTGCCCAGGCAGGTCCTGCAGCACCATGTCAACTCAGGCATGGCACCGGCAGGGCGGGGGGGGCCCAGGGTCCTGGCCCCGCAGCTTCTCCAGCACCAGGTCAACCCGGTTGTAGCCAAGCGACCCCTGCAGCACCATGTCAACCCAGGCATGCATGCCATGTCAACCAGCACCATGTTAACCCCTGCACCTTCATTGGTGTCAAAGGTCACGTGACATCACTTCCTGATATGATACCACTTCCTGTGACGTCTTTGAATATGGCTCGCCAGCCCACTGAATGATAAAAAGTTTGTGATCCAGCCCCACATTCAAAAAGGTTGGACACCCCTGATCTAGTGCATCTTCCTCTTGGCTTCACTGAAGGTTCTCTATGGAGCCCTGCCCAGGATACAAAACTGCTCCCTCGGCATAATACTGCAAAAAGCCTGGGTGTAGCTAGCTGCCAGGCAACTCTGCAGACCTCTAGGGCATGTCTACCCCACCAGAGGACCATGCTGTAGGATGCTGAAACGTAACACGCTACAATGGCTCTGCTCATTCTGTCCCCACTCTCTTGAAAACTATGCACCCAATGCTGTGGCTACATTACGTACCAACAAGACACTTTTGGGAGTACTTATTGGCACACGCCTACTGCCACAGAAACTGATTACTGTCATGGATCCTCTTATCAGAGAACCTGCACCCCTTTCAAGGGAAGCTCTGCCTTGGGACTCCCTGAAAAGTCATATCTGGTTTCCCCCCTTTAGGACCCCCTTCAGCCAGCCCTGGTATGACTTTTTGAGAGGCAAGCCTCTGGCTTTGAGACCCTTGGTCTTCAAGTGGTTCAGGAAAGTGTCAGAGTGACACCTTTCCAAACACAATAGCAGACCGCTGCAGTTGAAACAAAGGCTGTATCGTGTGCCACTGCAGAGCATCCCAGCATCATCTCATCTTGTGGGGTTTTTTCTCCCTGTCCTCCCTGGGAGTCTTATTTTTTCTCTCTCTCTCTCTCTCCAGCTCCCTCAGATACCTTTTCTTTCCCCTCCTCAAGCAGTCTACAACATTAGGAACAAAGTATATCAAAGCTTGTAGTTAACCTGAGGACTAACACGCACCTATTAAATAGATACTTAATGTTATTAGGAACCAATCAGCAGTCTCTGGGGCCTGCTGTTAGCCCAGACTGTTATCTTCCCCTGGGGTGAAAAGGGCATCTAGATGTCCTCCTAAGAAATCATCCACAGCAAAACGTGCTCATGAGCCCTCCAAAAATTTCCCCACAAGAATTCCAACTCAGCACTCTGTCTCTTTATTCATAGTCACATTATGTCCAGTTTTGGGTGTAGCCCATACGTGCAAAGCAGGCATGGTATGCTTCATTTTGACACTTCTAATATGGTCCTTTGGCTGTGTCCCAAGATTTTCTTTCACAGGTGCCTCAATAACTTCTGATTTTGTTCATTTGGCATCAGTCAACTTTTCCCAAATGGCTGCTGTCATTCAGACTTGTAGAGAAGCCCACCAAGAAGTTAAATAAAAATATTTTTGAATTAACTAAGATTGAACATAGAGGCCTGGCAATAGCAGATACCAAGAGCAAGAAACAGCATCAATAAAAGCCTGGGCTAACAAACAACAGACCATGAAGGAGGTCTGCAGTGGAAAAGAGCAGACCAATCCATCAGAGTTCTGGCTCCATATTTAGGATTAAATGTATAAATTAATAGCTGACCAAATGTGCGTCAGTATCTCTAATTCGATTTCTACAGGCATGAGGCACAATGTAGTCATTACGCCACAATAACAATTCCAAATACAATGAAATACCAATCCTTTGAGTTGGACCAGAAGCCCTCCTGTTTGGGTGACTTTTCTCCATTTCCCCTTTACATGTCACAGATGCCCAGTGTTGAGAGCTCAGGTTGTACCTAAGTGGTGCATAGGTGCTTGTGCAGGCCTTCTGCATAATGATGTATTTCATCATCCAAAACAGTAATTTGGGTAAACATCACATTTAATTGGGTTAAAGGGCTACTTCTTGTGCAACAGGCAATAAAATGAGGGCAAACTCTAGCATTTAGCACACAACCATGTAATTTTTCTTACAGCACTGGATACTATTATAATGTGTGTTATTTTAATTCACCACAAGGCACCACAGGCAGATTGGTGTTTGTTTCTCTTTAGGGGATCAGGGTCTGATCTTGGAAAATATCTAGCATGAAGTTTACCACCATGACTGTTCTCACTGACAAACAATAACACAATGTTTTTGATGGCCGTTGGGCTGCTTGCAGTTTTTGAGCCGACAGGAATCTTGCAAAAAGCTCAGGGCGGATTTTTACAAGGGTTTTGGGACCCAGTTGTGATCATAATTACAAAACAATTCAAGAGTCTTTTTAAGGACATGGATGGACATCATTTTTTTGTTTTGTTTTAAAAAGTAGCGGATAGGCAATACAAACCCTAAACCCAAGACACCTTTACCCAATCCAATAATTATCCCAAAGAATCAGGGCTAAGTAGTTAACATTGCTTCAGGTTTCATCTGTCTATGCCCATCCTGTTGCAGTTATTTGCTAAAAGTAAACTATTGCCTGGTTTTTCATTGTCTAGCAGCAAGGTACCATAATAACCACCTGCTGTGTGAGCCACCCTGGGATAGTTGTCCATCTATCTGCCCCTGATTATGGTGTAATTTTTATGTTGGTGTACACACCAGCATGATTTATACTAGGGTAGAAATAAATCTGTCAAGTGTTCCTGATCCAACACGGCTACAACCCAAACCCCTGATCCATTGCGACATTTATGCCATTCTTTCAGAGCAACTTAACACCTGCTAAGCATCCCATGTGCTGAGATGTTCTAGAAATCTGGCCACATATTCTGGTGCCTAACAGGGAGCTGGGCACTTCTGAAAATCTGGACATAAAAATGGGTCTTGCAAGTACAGGGATCACTGTTAACTGCTTGAAAGTCTTGCTTTTTGCTAACAAGGAGCCTGATTTGTTTCAGAGGCTGTGAATATTTATAGTGCCAATTGCCTTCAACACATCTGAAATTTAAACCTTCCTCAAGCTCTTCAACCGCCTGCTGAGCCTTAGTGTTAGAAAAGGGAGAGATTCACACTGGCAGGAATATCTAGTAATGTTTTATTTGGCAAAGTTTGAAGAGTGATCTTTTTTTAAAGTTTAATCAGAATCCAAATTCACTTGCCAATCAAATTCCTATTACCAACCAAACACCAAATCCAAAAACCTGAAATTCAATACACAGTCTATAGCATCCATTTCTTATCAGTTTAATTCAACAGGCATCTTTGCAGATGCCCCCATAATGCCTGCTCAGGGGATCTATGACCCATATTGTAAGAGGAAATCACATCTAACTATATTTAGCAAAGGCACCAATCCTACTTGTGTAGCAGCTACATCAACAGAACCTAAAGGATTTGGTGGGAAGAAACACCGTCAGTGTATCAAGACATTGGTCAGAGCTGAAGAAACCATTTCTGTTGGATAAACACTTGAAAACCTAGAAGTGTAAACGTGTTCCTCTATAGCCTCCCTTTCAAAAGTTTTCCTTTCAAAAGAAGTATTTTGAAGATGTTTACCAAAACCTATCAAAGTCTATCTGACCCCAGCTGACTTCATCTGATCCAGCCCCCTGCCCAAAGGGCATGATCTCATGAGACCCCTTCCAGCCCTAATGTCTATAAAATCTATTAAATCTATGTAGGTTTTGCTTAAGAACATAAACACTATCCTGTGTCAGACCATTAGTCCATCCAGCCAGTCTCTTACAGGGACCAAATGTGGATTCTTA